CTTCTTTGGTCTATTTTCCAACGTTACTGTAATCTATGTTTTGTGGTCACTTGTCACTTGTTGTTTTGAGCTTGTTGTGTTATTTCTAAAAAATGGATTTTCGGAATAAAAACAAGATGTTTCTTGTACAGAATTACATATAACACTGTCGTGTACAGTTAAATCTGCACTAACCCCGAAATACGTGGTTATGTTGAGTGTACCAAGTACCATCACCGATGGTGTGACTGATACACTGAAATGAAAATGAAAAACTGCAACTGCAATTGAATGTATGAATAAAATCTTGAACTGTTTCGGACCAGTGGTGACAAAATGTCGTTGAGGAATTGGAAACAAGTGTATGAATGTGTTGAAACGCAACACCTAACAAAAATTTGAGTGAAAAGGCTTTTTCGTGTAAGAATTTGGAAGTACAAGTTTGCAAAGGTAGGATAAACTATGAACACCCAGTAGGTGATGTTGAGTCGATATAACCACATATGGATTACAAAAGTTGCAATAAATATGGAGAAACCTTCAGCTAAACTGGAAAAAAAATGGATTTTACTCGGCCATCAAGCATTTTTTTTTTAATTTTGGCTCAGTTTTATATAATTCCATAATATGTATTTAATAAACTGAAAACATTTCAATGGCAAGCTGTCACTTCATATTTTACAGTGTTTTGTTTTCGATACTTTGATGCTATTTGCTGCCAAAAATTTGACGGAGAGATCTTGAGGCTGATTGGGTATATTTGACGGACTGCTTAGTACTCGTACCCTATTGGTGCAGAATAATGGTTTGTCAAATGGTGAAATCGGCCCTTAATGTCACTTTTCAAGATACGTAATACCCTGCCGTTGTAATGATGTTTTTTTTTCGGTGCCGTGAATTGCGTACTTTCTGACCTCCCCTCGTACTCACCTTTTCACGAAGTCGTTAAATTTTAGATTAATAATTAATTACAGTTCCGATATTCTAAAATTGGGATAGTGCCCTGTCCTATATATTATTTTGTTTCCTATAAAGAGTCTCGAATCCTCAAGCAAACCTGATGCTTTTATGACATACCACAATTTTTAAGCCTTGTGGTAGCACTAGACGATATTCAGGACGTCAGGAATGCGTTATGAGGCAGGACTAATAGGCTCAGGGATTTCCAGGGGAAAAACAACACGCCAAAGTGGCGTATCGAGGCACTGGCTGAAATAGGCATGCCCTTATAACGAACGAGAAGTCTTTCTTTCACATTGAGATGCCTTGGGGGACTTGTGACACAACCCTTTTGGTGTTGTGGGCCCTGTAAGGTCCCTAACAGTGGGCAAAAAGGCACTAAGGTCCCTTTTGGATGTAGTCCAGGTTTAGATGCACTTTTGAGTGGACAGCGTGCGGAAATTGCAACCTGCACGGAGCTGATGCACTGCCGGACGTCGGAGAGACGCTAGAACTGGCTATAGGCCCTTTTGGGACTTGAAACCCTGCAGTGTCGATCTATCCCTTTGGAAAGAGATTCCCTAGGGGTGTGGGCACTCATTTTATAGGGTACGCCATAAGGAATCGAATAGACGTACTTTTGATTCAATCAAATGCACCACGTCGGCGTCACGACGTCAAGAAGGTTCGCAGTGGCGTATGTACGCCTTGGCGCTCTTTCTTTTCCATCCTTCTGTCCTGGCAGAAACCGTAGTACCGAAGCTCCCGCTTGTACCAAGAGGTAAGTGGTGAGTTACAAGCGTGTTCCGTTTAAACCAGTGCGTTCCGTTTTAGTGATATAGTTGTAATTCTGATAACCGTAAGTGAAGTATTTTTGAGGTTCTGGATTTATTTATTTTTATTGAAATTTTGCTTACCGTATAGAGCCTGATCCAGAATCCGAGTGATTTTATTTTTCTCTGATTGACTCGTTCTTTAGTCATAGAAATTGTAGTGTACCGTTTTCCGTGTATATCTTTGACATTCGAATTTTGAGAAGAGAGTTGTTTGCTTTCTGTTTATTTTTGAATATTGACCGAACTAGTTTGCTGAAAAAAAATTACTGTGAGTTAGACTTTGAGAATATTTTAGAACAAAACCGTTTATGAATGGGTTTACCAGCCTTAGCGTAATTTACATTTGAGCCTTAGTGAATTGTTGTGCATTCAAGTTGAAGGATAGGAATTTAGAACTGGAACTGCGTAAATGAGATATTTCTTATTAAATCTTGATATCTGCGTTTGAACTTGGTCTAAGCCTACGTTGGGCTTAGTGGACTTCTCTGGTGGCAAATAAGAGCTGACCGGTGAAACAAGTCTAACCGAATACCGACCAAATGCCGAACCGTACCGTCCCGTTTGGTCTATAGCTCTTACTTTGGGCACTTTGAGAGTTGGCTTGTATCAAGTAGGTAGATTCTGCGCGCCAGTGTTGGTTAATTGCGGGACTCTGGGACTTCCATAAGCGCTATTCTTGAAGTTTATTTGCACATATTTATACATCCGACTGGTGATTCGATATACCCTACCGCATCTACCAGGCAGTATTCTCAATTTCTCTGAGTACGACCCCCTCCCTCGCAAGTTAGACACCGAGGCTTCGGAAGTGACTGGCGAGGCAGGCCTTACTCGGTTGTAATTGCGAAAGCCGGAGAGATCAGGATATTCCCGATTGAGCTAGGTATCCCCGGACTCCCACCTAAGTTAGATACCGAGTTTTTCGGAAGTGACTCGGTACACCTGGCGACTGTCTGGAATATGTACTGACTTAACCCCGATGTCAATCACGCAGTGAAATTCTATTTAAGTTGGCCTTGCCAATTATACAGGGTGACTTTGAAGTTGAGTCATTAATTTTCAGATAATGATTGTAGAAGGAAGATAAACCAAAATATGTGTGTAAAAATAAAAAAAAAATAAAAAAAAAATGTTACCTTGTTTTATAAAGTATCCTCCCGACAAGTATTTCAGTGCGGACCTGTGCGCCCAAAAGCATGTCACAAAAACTGTTCGAAATGATTTCCGTTTTGCTCGACGCACAGCTGGGCGCGTCTTAGCCATGTCTCTTTACAAGCACGCAATAAAATCACTGGTTGATTTCTGATCACTGTACTCATTTCCTCAATTCGAGCACGTAATTCTTCGCGTGTATTAACCGGTGTTTTATACACTAGAGTTTTTAGCCAACCCCACAAACAAAAGTCTAAAGGATTTAAGTCCGGAGACCTTGGCGGCCAAGGTACAAAACCGCCACGGCCGATCCAACGATTATTAAATTGTCTATTTAAAAATTCACGCACATTTCTTGCATAATGGGGTGGTGCCCCATCTTATAAAAACCACATGTTTTGTCTAATATTTAAAGGCACATCTTCCAGTAAACCAGGCAAATTGTGTTGCAAGAAATCAAAATAATTTTCACCAGTTAAGCGATTTGGTAATTCAAAAGGCCCCACTAAAATTCCATTAACAATTCCCGCCCACAGGTTGATTGGTTCAAATCGCTGTTGAAAATTGGTTTCCCTTATTTCATGGGGATTTTCAATAGCCCAAACGTGAGAATTACGTGAATTAATAATTCCGTTTCTAGTAAAGAGGGCTTCATCACTCACTAAAATTTGATTTAAAAAATTGTCATCATTTTGATGTTTATTTAAAAGCCAATTGCAAAAGTCAACCCTTTGTTCATGATCTTCCGGTTGTAAGGCCTGCACTTTTTGTATGTGAAACGGATAGAACTGATTTTCACGTAGAGTTTTCCAAGTTTTATACTGACTAATCGCCAATTGAGTTGAAATTTGTCGGGTGCTTACTGTTGGATCATCACTTACTAATTCTAAAATTTGTTCTTCTAGTTCTATTTGATCGTGTGGTCTTGGAGCACCGGCATGATCTCCTCTGTGAGGTCTTAAGTCACCTGATTCACGAGCTCTTTGCACTACATTAACAAAGGCACGAGGGGTTGGTTGCACTCGATTGGGAAACCGATCCGCATAGATCCGTGATGCCGCGGCAGCATTTTGTAAAGAAATAAGAATAAGAACCATGTCCACAAGTTCAGCATTTTCGTAAACATGTGCCATTTTTGATTTGAGCCTCGCAACAGACACGATTATTCACTTACGCGTTACCGACTACCGACTGATACTGACTGTATACAACTGAAGAAAATAATTGTAAAAAGATCGTTCCAAATTCTTTCGCTTTTTTGTTTCCGATGCGATGAACGGATAAGGCGGATTATATCTGTTGTTGCCAAACACGAGAACATAATATCATTATTGAGACAGGGCGGTACTCAAACTTCCAAAGGGCTATAACTTTGTTACTTTAATTTTACCAGAAAAATGGTAAAGGAAAAAAACATTTCTTTTGATCAGATCTACTCACTGTTAAAATAAATGACTCAACTTCGAAGTCACCCTGTATATAATATATTTTTACGTCCCTGAAGGCTCCAGAACTATAGAAAGATACGTACCAATATCTGATTCTGATCATTATATCCCAGTAAAGCCCCAAATCCAAGCGAGGACGAGACAAGCAAAGCTTGAAGTAGACGCGGGTTAACTAAACGCCTGGTCTTATTCTTCACCCAAACATAACCATATTGCTGAAGACCGTTCATTGCTTTGGGCTTATTGCATCGCACCATTACCGCTTGCTAGCTTGACCGCATACTGCTTCCGCTTTAACTGTTGCTTTTTAACCGCCTTTGATTCCGTTTGGCCCAGAGTTAACTGATTGTCCTCCTTCTGCGCTCTATCTCTAGGGTAGCCAGATTCATATAGGGATTCATCTCATTTGTACATATAACTGGAGATATCCCGACCGTGCATTAACGGCGCTCTCACAGTCAAGCAGAGTTTCTGAGGGGAATCGGGGGGGTGATAGGGAAAGGCTAGTAGGACGGCGTTGTGACAAGGCAAGCGCTCTACGTTAGAAAAGGATAGTAATACGCAGAGGTGTGCTGTTCGCGTGCCTGGTTGAATTTGCATATTGCACAGAGTCGGATTTGATTTGGATATACGATCTAGCGTACGACTGTTTCCCTATTTTGGCGCATAGTATACTCAGCCCTTATTACTTTTATTACCGTTATTGTATTGTTGTATTATCGTGTTGTTATTGTTGTGTTGTTATTGTTGTGCTGTTATTGTTGAGTGTCTTTCTTATCAAGGTATCAAAAATGAACAATAAGAGAAATAAACGTGGCGTCTCGAAGAAGCCGCATTTAAATATGCACAGGAAAAAAAAACGTTTTCCAGATAGAAAAGTAGGTACCAAAACAATTATGAATTTTAGCATTCATTTTGCCAATAAATTAGACTATACGTAGTTACTATTATAACTATATTTTATATGTTATTTTAGCTTAAAAATGACAGCAAGGTTTCGCATATGCATTCTCTAACAGAGACAGATGGCATGGATCTTCAAATTCAGGTGTGTATACCCTTTTTTTTTAGATTTGCACCAGAGGCTGATATCATTTCTGGCAATTCTGATTAAAAATGCAGTAAGTTTACTTCATGACGTCGATAATAGTATTGTAGAGCAGTTTAACTCAATCATAGCTAAATTCATTGGGGGTAAACGGATTAATTATTGCAAGAAGAGATCCTACCAAGGAAGATGTGCTGCAGCCGTAGTGAGCCACAATACACAGCGACCTGTTTGTGTGATCCAAAAGCGGCTACTCCCTAGTTTCAGTCCAACCTCTTTGATTGCTAAAGTTGAAGAAAGGAGAGCGCACAAAAATCTGAAAAGGAAGCTGAAACAAAGGAAAATTAAAATCAGAGATAGTGATACTAAAGAGAACGCATCCTATGGGGAATTCTGTGAGAAGCCTGACATGAGCAACGAAGATATAGAGGCTGCCAAGGTAGAATTCTTGAAAAAACTTGCAAAAACCGACTCCAAAATTTCCCAGATCGAGCAAGCCACAAAATCTCAGGATTGCAATTTGTGGCGTCTTCGTCGAAGAATGAGGTTGACTGCGTCTCGGTTTGGTGAGGTTTGTAGAAGAAGAGATACAACAAGTTGCAGAGCTCTAGTAAACGCCATAATATACCCAACCGAATTCTTTAGCAATGCATGTGACTATGGAAAAAAGCATGAAAGCGTGGCAAAATCAGAAATAGAGAAATCATATTCGCAATCAGAAGTACAATCTTGCGGGTTGTTTATTGATAGGACCCATCCATTTCTGGCAGCATCGCCAGATGGTTTGATAGGCGAAAAAGGTCTGCTAGAAATTAAATGTCCATGGTCGGCTAGAGAAATGACCCCTGAAGAGGGCATTCTGAACAAAAAAAATTACGTTTTGGATAAACGATGAAATAAATAAAAAACATAAGTGGTATTACCAAATTCAAGGGCAGCTACACGTTGCACAAAGAGAGTACTGTGTGCTTGGTGTTTGGACCCCGTATGGTTTGAAAATAGACGTCATTCGAAAGGATGACGTTTTCGGGAAAAATGAAATGGAAGAGAAATTGAAATTCTTCTACATGAACTGCTTGCTCCCAGAACTGGTCGATCCCAGAAAAAGCAGAAATATGCCAATCCGCGATCCCGATGTGATCTTGAAGGCACAAGAGAACCGTTTGAACAAGAAAAAGAGTTCTTGAGAATTGGCTATTTTTGCTGTACTCGGGTACCAAAATGGAAGAGATTAGCATATTACATTGTACTCCGTTACTAACCCCTTCGTGTCGGCAAATGCGGTGTGCAGATCTCGCTTTAGCAGCGATGTGCGAGATGTTATGCTAATCTCTTCCATTTTGGTACTAGTACCAGATGTTCACTATTTATTGTATATTATGTATATATTGTTTATTTAAATAAAAGTCAATCGTCAGGCTCAATAGCACGTAGCATCGGCTAGCTTTATCTAGTCTGTTAGATGGCGAATATTGAAATGTCACATTGACACGTTAAGCGCCACAGTAGAATCTGAAAATCCAGTCCACTGGGCCAAACTGTTATTATTGTCAAATTAGCTTGTTTTAAGTTTCGGTTTAATATTTTGACTTGACTTTTTTCTCAAATCCTATGATTTTTCCCCTTTTTTGATTTTTTTTTCTGAGGTACTAATTGTATGTCGCGTGGCCCACAGACCAGTCGGGTCGCGTGGCACATAAGTCGCGTCGCGTTTTTTGCAAGTCAAGACTTGCATCATGTCGCGCGTTGAGCACTGTTTCGTGTCATTTATTATTGAAGCGTTGTTGGTATTGTACGTCATCTTGTCCAAATTGCTTTACTGTTTATAAATTATTGAATACCAAATTTGTGATGTCGCATTACGAAGCGGAGCAAAAAAGGCTTGAACAATTGTGTAATGAAATACTATCGGATGAAGAGAGTGGCAGTACTGAGTTATGTGGGGATGTATACCTACTTATCTGATGCGTATTCTCCAAGTGGTAGTGAATCAGATAGTAGTTGTAGTAATTTCATATTTATCTGTATTACTGTTTATTTATACCGGTATTTTGTTTATTCCTGCATAAGACTTTGTCAATCTGTTTAGTTTATAAGAGTTCCTCCATATTTGTGTTCGTTAGAATATCGACATTTACCATAACTTACTGATTTGCTGTGAAATTACTTTGTTCATTTTTGAATGAGAATGTCTGATTATTTTATAAGATTTGCTTTTTGTTTTAGATTTGTAGAATATCCTCTTTTTGTAAAACTCTATAAACAACGTGTTTTTTAATGTTTTCATTTCCAATTCAGTATAATTTGGTCCCTCAGGCCACGGACTCTTGATTCCCGTAAGAAAATCACATCAGCATGGCACACGTCTTACGTTACGCGGCCAAATATAACTGCCAGCAGTGAGACATATCATGTGTGTCACGAGGCCCAAAGCGCCAAATGAGCTGCGACACACGCATTATATCTCATGACGCTTATCGTGTTAAGTTTATTTTACGATACTCCATAAGGTTAAAGCTAAACAGCAAGTGACATTTTATTTGTGGTAAATGCGTTCACTATAATTATTATTTTTAACTAAAAAGATTACCGCCTCCAATGACCCTGGAACCACCTGGAAACTTTTGGTCACAAAGTTCTGTATTTTACCACACATGTCAAGTCTTTTCATTTGATATGTATATTGGGGGTTTTGTACAAAAATATGTAACTCGTAATTTCGAAACGGCGGCAATCTTGGAATCAAATATTTTTAGTGAAGTACTGTATTCTACAAGGCGACGACTCTTATTTGAGATATTAGCAAGTATGTTATATGCCATTTTGTAACGGCCGCCATCTTGATTTGAAACTGTTTTCGTATTACTGTTTTGTACAAGTGCTTCCATTTGATATCCATATTGGGGTGATTGAACAAAAATGATTTTATGTGGTATCACCTCTGAAGCATGGCCTATTGTATAAAAAGAAATGATCAAAATCGATTAAAATTTTCCCCTCTTTCATTGAAGTCTATTAAAAATATCACTTAATGGTCCGATGTTTATCTCGAACGACCGACGTTAAAACTGCTACTGTTTAACTTGGGACAACAAATTATCTGAATACGTCCTTTCTTAGTCCGTACACACCGCCGCGTTGCTTCGACTGGCAGCACGAGATAGTGGATAAAATTCGTGTAAAAGCCTATTTGCAGAGGTTTTCGCGCTTCAAAATTGACGCTTCATTTTTGAATATTTTTCAATGAAATTTTCACAGTGCACTAAAAACAAGACTCCACAGGGTGCTATAGAGCCACTTTTTCGTTTTTTCCTCTGGGTTATTTTTAAAAAAATCGAGAAGTCGAACAACAATTATCTGCATTTCCACCCACCATAACTCCTGAAAAAAATTTTTTTTTAGAAAAGTGGCTCTATAGCACCCTGGACAATTGTCTTCTTAACATACTGTATAAATTTTATTCAAATATATAGAAAAATGGAGCGTCAATTCCGAAGCAGCTAAACCCTTGTAAATGGCCTGAAACTCACTGCGTCGGAGCCGCCTTAAGTGTATATATTTTTGCTGTTAATATACCAGGTTGTGTTATAAGTCTTGCTTTTAATCACAAATACCGTCCTGCCTGAGTAAGAGATACAAAAAGAGAAGTAGTAGAAGTAGAAAGTAAAAAGTATCTCGAGTCTGACCCTTTGAGCGTGAAGCATCAAATCCCTGAATTATTTTCTTCACTGAAGCTACCCACGTGACTGTTTGAGTCTATAGTGATGTCTCCACGCTCTAAACAGGAGGCTGGCGCCCGAGGAGTTGCTGAACTAGAGAGGCAGGTAGTTCGCCAGTTATTGACCCCGTGAAAAGAGCGTTACACCGTTCAGCCATTTTGGCGTAATTAAATCACATATATCCACACTTCTCATTTATAATATGAAGTAAGGATTATGGCCCAATTAAAGTTCAATCTTCAAAGTGTTGTAGATAGAAACGCCTAGGTTTTATAACTGGTACCAAATCAAACGATGTCCGAATATAGAACGTTTTAAAAAGTGACATTTTGTCGTTTTTTATGACAACGTAGATTTTTCTACAAGATGTTAACTTAGCACAGGCTGTTGTACATTTGTTGTGAACTCGTTTTGTAGTTGTACGTATTGCTTAAACGTCAGAGAACAGCGATCATAGCGAGCAAACGTGGAATGAACTTCGCACACTAAAAACTACATAGTCTGCAAGATGACATTTTGTCGTTTTTTTTTTAGGTTTTCACATAATATCATAATATCCCTGCGGAACTCCATCAGTTAGATTTTGTTTTGAAAATATATATAGCTATCTCATCCTTCACCGTGACACTTCAAGCTGAAGACCATAATTTAAAGTCGGCCCCTCCGCTTCTGGGGATTATTTTTAACTCTGTTCTTCACCCTCCTGTCATTCGATACGATGCTTGTCGGGTGCCATTTGGCACGTAGCACGAGCGCATGTCAGACTCGGACCCTTGTTTGTGCTAAATTTTAAGCCGTACGAAGCCTACGCAATGTTGTTTTACCGATAAAATAAATAAGTTGTTAAAGTAGTGAAAAGTGCTCCAACAACACAACTATCTAAATGTATTGGGCACTCATTAATAGCCGAGATTAATAGTTAAATCCGATGCCTAGTTATGATTGCGTTACTAGGAGTAATAGTTTTGAAAGGGGCAACTTCTTGTCAATGTCTAGATTTATTTCCTTGGGCTTTCTTGAGAAGTAAAATCACCACTAAGATGTTCATATTGTTTTAAAAATGCTCTTATGTGGTTTCGTGGAATTCCAATTCAGTCGTATTTATGTTCAATGCTCCATCTGACCATCACATACGGTCAGTTTTACTTAGATGATTAAACC